TTTATTTAATTTTTTATTAATTTAATTTAATTTTTAATTTTTAAAGTTGTCCATAAACTTTTGTCCACCCACTGTATTTCCTGTTGGGTTTTGATAATATCTTTCATTTGGTTCTTTTCCTGTGGGTAAATTATAAAGGTCTATTAATATTTTTATCTTTTCTATATATCCATTTACTTCTTCAGGTCTTCCTGAGAAATCTGGTACCATATCATAATTCTTTATTAATGTTTGTGCTGGCTTTTCATTCCATTCTTTTATTTTTTTTTTTGTTGTTCATTTAATGATTTTACTATACTAAACAGTTCTGCCATTTTATTTTTTGCTTTTGGTTTTTGTGGTATAAGTGGTGGGTTTTTAGATGTATTTATATTTGTTTCTGTAGTTTCTCCAAGTGGTATGTATTCTAATTCTTCCTTCTGTTCTTCATCTTCTTCTAGTTTTTTTCTTTTTAAGGGTTCAAGCATTCCAAAAGTTAAGTCAGATTCTTTTTCTCCAAACATATTTTTTATCCAATCCATTGTTCCATGTTCTTTTTCTGGTTTTTCATATGTATAGTCCCAATTTTTTTCTGGGTTTCTTCTGATTCTTCATGGATCCATTCTGATAATCCTTCTCCTTGTTCTTCATCTTCTTCTGGTACTCTTATTTGTTCGTCATATTCATAATGATATTCATATTTTGGTCTTAATACCTTTTCTTGCCAATATCTTAATTCCATTGTTTCTAAATCAACTTTTCTTTGTAAATTTTCTATAGTGTCTTCTCCTATTTCTTCATTAAATTCTTCTGATAATGTTTCATTTTCTACATTTGCTCTTATCCTCCAAAATTCTATTGATTCTCGAAGTTCCTTAAGGTGTCTTTTTACTCTTTCCATTATTTCTTTATTTGTACCCATAGTTTCTTTCTTTTTCTTCTTGTTCCTGTATGTCTATTAAATATTTGTCTCTAAGTTGTTGATCAGTATCTAATACCTTAACTAATTTATTATCTATTTCTTTAATGGATTCTTGATATCTTTTTAATTCTAATCTTAATGCTTCATTTATTTCATTCTTCTCTTTATATAATTTTTCATAATTTTCTATTGTTTCTTCTATTTTTTCTTTTAATTCATTATTTTTTTTAAGTATTTCTCCAATTCCTTTATCCAATCGTTCAGCCATTTTATCAATTTTATCATCTCCTTGTTCTTTATATATTTTTTCATATTGTTTTTTTATGAATTTATAATAATTTTCCATATTTTGTTCTGATATATTCCTTATTCCTTTCTCTCTTTTGATTATTTCTTCAATTCCTTCATTTACTTTTGCAGTTATGTTTTTTGGATTTTCTTCTATTTCTAATTTCAAATGTGTATATATTCTTTCGTATACCTTTCTTATATATTTACTATAGTTTTCTATATTCTTCTGATATTTTTCTCTCTGCTCTTTACTATTTCTTAATTCCTTTTTAATTTTATTACTTTCTTCAATCATTTTGTTAATTCCTTCAACTATTTTACTAGGTATTCCTTCTTCTGGATCTTCTTCTGTTTTTAATCCCAAATATGAGTATATTTTTTTATATTCATTTTTTATAAATTCATCAACTCCTTCTATAGTTTCTTTGTATTTTTTATTTTGTTTTCTTAGTTCCTTATTATATACTTCTTTTGCATTCATTTCATATTCATATTTTTCTTTCTGTTCTTTCATTTTCTTTTCATGTTTTTCTTTTGTTTTTTGAATTCCATTCTTTAAAAATTTTATATCATCATTATGTACTTTATCTTTTAATGCTATTTCAGCTTGTAATATTCTTACTTGTTCTTCTAATGCAGCTATTTTTTCTGTTGGTGTTGTTTTTGGCATACTTGATTCTTCTTGGTTGTTCTTTTTTCTTATTGTGAGTTTTCCTTATGTTTTTTTATCTTTTTCAGACATTTTGATTTTTTGGTTCCTTGGTCAGATGATCCCAGGTATTTATAGTCTTCATTGATCTCATTAACTATTTTTGCTTTATACCTGTTTAAGGATGGTGTTAGTTTTTTTTCATACATTTCCTGTAATGTATATGTTTTCCATTCACTATTATTTAATGGTTCTCGTCTTTGAGGTTCTTGCTCTTCTGTTAATTTAATTATGTATATACTACATTTTTTTTCTTTTTGATTGTCCACTTTTCCATGTGTAGCAATATATTTTAATTGTTTTTCCTTGAGTGTTATTCCTGTTTCTTCAAGTACCTCTCTCCTACATGCTTCTTCAAGTGTTTCATGAGGTTCTATCATTCCTCCAGGTACTTGGTAATATCTATAGTATTCTTTTCCTTGATTCAATCTTTTTGATAAATATACCTTTCCTTCCTTGTGTAATATTCCTATTGCAAAGTTTTGGTTAATTTGTTTTGATAATTTTTTCATTCTTAAATATATCTGTTCTATTTCCTTTTGATATTCTTCAGATTCTTTATCTGGTAAGTTTTCTTTCTTCATATAAATTCCATATGTTTTCTTTACTAATTCTTCATAATTTTGTTGTACTCCTTCCAAATATTTTTCAGATATTTGTATATCATCATTTCGTTCAAGTATTCTTTATTTTTCAACTTTTCCTTCTGATTTTAAGAATAATACAATAGTATTTTCTAGTCTAACATTTTCTGTTTTCTTCAAGATTTCTCTTTCTTTCTCTTTTGAGATTAATTTTAATTTTCTTTGAATTGTTGTAAATATTCTTGTGGATAATATGCTTCTGTCCATTATTATATATTTTGCTGTTTTATCCATGGTTAATATTTGTCTTTTTCTTTGATTAATAATTTTTTTCTGTATTGTCTCACAGTATTCATTAAAGTCTCTGTAATATTTCTTCAGTGTTTTTTTGTCAATTCCTTCTCTAAGATATTGATATTTTTCTCCTTGTTGTTCTATATGTTCTATTAATCTCTTTGCCATAGTAGTTTTCCCTGCTTCCATACTCCCTTCAAGGATTAATATTACTGATTTGCTCATTTCTTAAGTTCTATTTCAATTATTACTTTGTTGTTTTTATGTTCTACTTCTACAATTAAATTGTTAGTTGGTTTATATTCTTTCTATATTTTTCGGATTGTTGATTCAACTTCTTTTGTCGTTATAAGATTCTTAGATGGTCCTTTTATAGATTTTACATCACTTTGTGTATTATTAGTATATCCTGTTTTTGTTACCATTATTCCAATAGCTCTGTTCATATTATACTTTAATATTGCTCCTGCAAATGCTCTTACTTCTTTTGTGTTTATTAGTCTTTCCCAATTTTTACATTGAATATAAATGGTAATATATCCTAAAGGTACTATCAAATCTATTCCTCCGTCACCTGTTATTCTATATTCTGAAGTTCTTTTTATAAAGTATTCGTCTTTGTACACTGATTTGCATTTCTTGTTTTTTTTCAATACATCTTCTTCTAATTCTTTTCCTTTATCTCTGTTAGTTTTTTCGGCTGTTTGTTTGTTAGTATCTTTTTTCTTTTTTATTTCTTGATAAAATATTTTATTTGTTTTTTCTTTCTTTTCTTTATTTGTTTTACTTCGTGTTGTTACTAACATTTTTGAATTCTAAAACTGTTTGTCTGCAAGTTTTGGTCCTTAAAGTTTGTCGTAATAAGTATAATGCTTCGATTTTATATCTTTTATACATTTCCCTAATAGCTCGTTGTTTGTATTCCTTAAAGTCCTCAAATGTCACCCTTGTTCGGAATGCTATTATGTTCTTGTTACAGTATCCTGGTTGTGATAAACAATAGTAATGACAATTTTTTGTACACTCCCATCCTATAGTCGTATTCATATCTCCTGCTCTTACTATCCTTTTTTTATTTTTATAATGACAATGTGCTTCTTCATGTGTTATCGGGAATGTATACTCATAATATTTTTGTATTCCTTTACATAGAATACACATTAGTGCAAATTGTACCCCATACGTTCTGTATTCTTCTTTCGTTATTTCTTCTTGTGCTATAACATTCCATAGTCTGCTCGTTAGACTTACGTCTTTTAATACTTTTAGTCGTTTGATTTCTGTAATTACTCCGTTATCTTCTTGTTTATATCCTGTAATCATTTTTATTATTTCTGTTAATAATTCTGGTAGTCCAAATATTGGGTGTTCTCCTTTATTCGTCTTCCATCTCCTCACTTTCTTTCGCTTTTTCAGTTCTGTTAGAGTCATATTCTTCCTTTTCATTTTCGTTTAGAATTTGTTAAATTAATGCAATTACTGGTTCTAATTCTCGATTGTCAATGGTTACCCCAATATAATATTTTGCCAAGGTATAATCACTGAGTCATATGGTATCTTCAATTTTTTCTTGTTGTTTTTTAGTAATTTCTTGTATTGTTCCAAAACTATCACAATATTGTCTACTTAAGGTAATAGTTTCTTCTTCTCCTCTGTATTCGTAAATAAGAATTGTTACTTGATATAGGTTTTCGAAAAATCCTTTAAATTCTCTTCGTAAGTATTCGTCTTCGTCAGTTTGTTCTTCGATTTGATATATTCTTTCTCTTGCTCGATTAAATTTTCTTTCTTTAATTAGCTTTTCTTTTAAAAAGTTTGTTAGTATTAATCCGTCTTTTATTTCCACGTATAGTACAGTTTTTCTGTCTTGTCCCGTTATTGTTTTTTCGAGTTTGTATACTCTGTTTTTGAAGTCTTCTTGATATATTAATTCGTAAAAAACCATTCTTCGATTAATTCTTCTTCCGTTTTTTCCTTTTGTTCTTGTAAATCGTTTAATAATCCTTTTATTTCTAGAAATTTATTTTTCTGAAATAAAGTTCGTGTATGTTCTAAGTTATTAATATCCTTTACTGGTAAACAATATGTTATTTATTTAGTAATAGCTTTTCTTCATTTTGAAGAATCTTTTTCCTTCTCTTTTTATTATTAATTCTGTTGGTTTCTTTAATTCTCTAATTTCTTTTGTATTTCTTTATCTTGTTCTTTCATTACTTTAATTAGTTCATTAGTTAAGCAGTTCTGATAATATATTTCTTCTTGTCTGTCCTTATTTGAAATGTATTTTTGTATCAAATAAGTTAAAAATACTTCGTTATTATCAGTTCTTGTTAGTCTTTTATTCTTGAACTTTTTCACCATGGCTTTTTGTCTGTTTCGTTTTATTATACTTCTTTTATAGTTTTCATGATTCTGCGGATTTACCTTTTATTCTTTAAAAATTTCTTTTTGAGTGTTACGTTCCTTTAAAAACTTTCTTTTTTTGTGTTCCTTACATGTTTTTCCTTTTATGATTTATCCATCTTGTATATTAATCCGTTCGTTTTCTTATACCCCCTCTTTTTTCAAAAATGATTCTTATTAGTATTTTAATCGTTACCTCTTTGTTCTTCTCTTGGTTCTTCTATTGATTCTTCTATTGGATGTTTTATTCTCAAAACTCCACTCTGGTTCAAAATGTTCCTGAGGTTCCTAAATATTGTGTTGTCGACAATCATCCATATCCTCTTATCGAAATTAGTTACCTCTTTGCAAGTTTTCAATCGAATGGATTTTCATACATTCTTCTTATTTGTTTGGGTTATCGTCTTCATTTTCAATCAAGGCTTGATCCATTTCCTTCTCTTACTCATTTTGTAATTCTTATCAATTCTCTTCAATCTGAAGATCTATCAGATCCTAAAATCATTGCTCTTGTAAATATTAAGAAAATAATTAGTTTTATTCAATATAGAGATGGTCCTTTTCTTATTCTTTGTTTATTAGCTGTTGATGAAGATTGTTTATACAATCAACATATTAACAGTCTCTCAATTCAAAGGTTTATGAATTACTTTTGTAGCTTTCATGATACCAACTCCATTAAATTTGGTTAATGTAAACATATAAAAATTCAATTATTTTATTAAAGTTAAAAGATCTTTGCATATTTTCCTAACATAATTAATTGTTTTAAACTTAATTTTTTCTTGTTACTATTACTGTTTTGTTCGTCCTTTCTGTTATTATTTTTGATTTTTTCATTAATTCTTCGTGTTTCTTCATAATACCCTTCTTTCCTTCTTTCTTCTTTCTTTTGTGTTTTTTCTGGATTTCTCCATACTTGTGTTTCCTTTTGTACTGGTACATCCATGATTATGTTACGTCAATTCTCTCCAAGAGTTGATCTAT